TGCAAGTAATCACTTAAACATATGTACTTATTATCGGCAGCAGATCCACATTTTCTGCTAGTCAGGGACGAAGTTATAGATATTAACCTTTGCAACAAACTGTTTGGAAATCTGATCTCGTAGTGGACAGTATCCTTGGAGCCGTATATTTATTTTATAATTTATATTTAATTTTTTCAGTTCTTCTCTAAACCGTTTCNGTATTGCTCAACGTCATTTTACGCAGCCATATTAGTTTCGCGGAGATACCAAATTCAGACATCGCGTGTCGTATAGGCAACTCCTTTTTGGTGCTGTCGAAAGCGGCTTTGAAGTCGACAAATAGAACTGTCGATCCTTTTCTCGCGGGTCTTTTCCAAAATTTGGCGTATTGCCAATACCTGATCTATGGTGGATTTTCCAGGCCTAAAGCTACACTGATAAGGCCCAATCAGTTCCTTGACGATGGGCTTCAGTCTTTCACACAATCCGCTCGATAAAACCTTGTACCTAAGCTTAGAAGGCTGACCCCGCGGTAGTTGGTGCTCGCTTTTACGCCTTAAAATAGGCATCATAGAGAACGTAAACACTTTTTGCGAATTTCTGTAGAAACTTCAACTTTGCTTCTGAGATGTCCGATAATAATTCTGCAAAACTTTTCTGGTAGCCGTAACAAAAAGCGAGAATAGTTGCTTCTGCCATTTTCACACATAATTTCTGCACTTTTGCAAGTGGTTAACTCATTACATCTAGTCCTGAACTGCCTAATCACCCTACCAGAACAGACTGCATGCGCAGAGCTTAGAGATAATATTTATTGCTTCTGCGTTACAGAGTTTTTGAGTCTGAACGTGTGAGGAACTCGAATGGACATCATCTTCGCTGCCGCAAACTTTCCGGGAGGAACCGAAGCTGATAGACCACTGCCGGCAGAAAGGACTCTAATTGTGGGCCGCGATGCAAATGCGCACCGTTAGAAGTGGAGTAGTTCGAATCCTAACAGCAGGGGTGAGTCGATTTTAGAACTTATTGCAAGTAATCACTTAAACATATGTACTTATTATCGGCAGCAGATCCACATTTTCTGCTAGTCAGGGACGAAGTTATAGATATTAACCTTTGCAACAAACTGTTTGGAAATCTGATCTCGTAGTGGACAGTATCCTTGGAGCCGTATATTTATTTTATAATTTATATTTAATTTTTTCAGTTCTTCTCTAAACCGTTTCCCGTTTCCATAACCTTATTTCGCCATCTGAATATCGAGCCCTAACCGCCAAAATAACGTAAGCGAAATTTTTTCGTAATTTTCTTTTTGATGCAGAAATATTCCTAGAGCATCTAGATTCCTAGAGCATCAAGATGCATTTCTGCATCAAAAATAAAATTTTGAAAAATATGTCGCTTACGTTATTTTGGCGGTTAGGGCTCGATATGTTTGAACTCATTTAAGTTCTGAACACATTGAAAACGACGAGCTTCCAATTTGTTATCTTCATTATCTAAACGCTTTGTCGATGACGACATGATTTTTTTGAACGCGGCAGCGATAGCATGAATTTGTATGAGTTTGACATAAAAGAACGTTTACTTGCATTTTCGGTTTACATTTTTATGAAAACACCCATATCATTGTGCAGTTCCATAAGTAACGTAACTCTTCTTCTTACCGTTTTACCGACTGGCTGTAGGTGTGTTTTTGGTTCCGTGTGCTAGTGCATTTTGAAAAAATTGTAATAGAAATGGGAGAAATTGTAAAAGATAAGAGCAAATGCCAAAAAACAGGTGATCTCAGCTGTAGGCATTGTTTGGCAATCAGCTGATAGTGCTTTTACTTAGTAAGGCTGGTATGCAGCTCTCAAGAAAACGGTCAAGAAAAAAATTGCCATTATTTCGTGTGTGTGTTCCCAAGGAATTTTGACAACTGATACTCCACTAGCCTGTTGCCTCGCTCTTTGCTCAAGAAATAATAGGTTATTTCCCGTACGCAACGCGGGTTCCCGCGGTCCCCAAAATAGCCCAGAAATCATTCCAGTACTCAACAAAATGGGTAATAGAGAACGAAAATTGGAACGTATTGGATCGTAAGTGTCTTCTTCTTCCTGCCGAAAACAGCCCGGACTTTTTCTCCGGGTAAAAACGGATAAAGCGTCAAAGGGCATATCAGCTGTTTTGTGTTTACATGTTGCCTGTTTCTAGTGATGTGCTGAGTCAATACTTTTAAGTATTGATCTATATTCGGTACCGATTTAAAAAGTATCCAATACTCTCGATACTCGGTACCGAAACATTTAGGTTTCGAATAAAAGCGCACATAGGCCAAAAATATGAAAAAAAAACGGTTCAGGGGAGACTCGCCTATAAAAACCCGAATGTAGGAGCCAATAGAGCTTTTAATACGGATTCAAATGAAAGATGTATATATGTCGGTTCGAGACCATAATGCAGAGACACTCTTACTTGTTTGAAGGATTTTTGTTCCAGCTGTCGCTAACTGATTACAGAATCTCCCCCCTGAAAGGCTTCTACATCCGTAAAAGATTTTTCTTGAAACTTGGATCATCTAAGATTAAGACTGATAAAATAATATTTCTCTGTTGCGATAAGTTCAAGTGTTTTAGCCGATATCATATAAATAACTAATTAAAGTTTTTTCTAAACTTGAAATGCATATAAAGGCGAAGGTTTAATGTAAAGAATCGGTATCGGGTACATAAAAGGAAGTATTGGGTACCGAATTTTTTTTTAAGTATTGGGTACCGAAAATTCAGCACATCACTAGCCGTTTCACAAATTCTGGGGACGAAATGTAGTTTTTTGCGTTCCCGTACTTCTGGATTATGTTCCATTTGGGGCTGTCCATATATTACGTAAGGGAGTTTTCGCCTTCATTACATAGTTATACTAGTCATTCTTTGTTGTCGGTTTCTTTGGTCCACGGTCCAGCCAGGCAATCTGAAAGAGTAGTAGCCACAGGGATAACTCGTACTACTTTTTCACTCAAAGGTATTTCATTTTCACAGTCCACTGAAATTTCTTCACCCACTCAACAATAACTTCTGTTTCATTTTCTGTGAATAAAAATAATATTACGTAAGAATCTACGGGACGCCCCCTTCCCCCATATAAGAAAAAGTAAGAGAATTCTAGACCCGCCCTCCCCCACAAAGGTCTTACGTAATATATGGACAGCCCCTTTTTGAGAGCAAACTTTTCGCCTATTTTCTAATTACCGGATCCGGTCCGAATTGTTAGGGAAAGAACCGAATGGAACGGGCATACATATATTTCTGTTGCAAGCATGGGTTGCCTTGTGCTCTTCTTTCACAAAAAACTTAAGAAAACCATAGTAGAAAGCGTGGCAAATTTCTTAAGAACTGCGTACTGTCTGCAGGAAATTTGACTCAAGAAAATTACTTAGCCATTTCTTGTACGTCATTTTATATGGAGTTTTTGCTTTTCTTGAGAGCAGCATACTGGCCTGTAAACTATACGATGACCCATATGTGGGAATGATGCGAATCAAACACTTTGGTAAATTCTAAAAAAATATTTTGGTAGAATAAAATGCGAAAGGCTTCTATAATAGATAATAGGGGATGGGGAACTTGAGATATCTGTATAAAAGTTTTTAAAATACTTTCCGCATTATTATTTTTAACATGTCGTCATTAGTTTCTAAAAAGACCTTGGTATTTGTAATTGTATTTATTTTTTATCTATATTCTAGCACTTTAATGCAAATCTCTTAAATTTACATTTAGCTAATCGTAATATAAAATTTTCTGGAGAAATAATTTCGCCATATGACTTTTGTTCACAAAAAAATCAATGTAGACCTTTCCAGCGCATGGAAGTATTTAACGAAAATAGTTTGGTAGCAGTCATAAAATTTAACAAATTCTTTAATTCGTTTTAGCCCAGTAAAATTAGACTTTTTCTTAAAAAAAAATTGTAACAGCGATTTTTTGATGCAGTTTACTTCTATTTGACACGTAGATCATGGATCCACAGTCTTGCTCCTAAATTTCATTTGGCAACAATCCGTCATCTTGCATTTAAGTTTTTTTTTATTTTTTTGCGATTTACAAGCTTATTTGCATTTTTCGTAAAAAATGGTTTAATACAAAATTGTAGAGAATTTAATTTCCCACATTTGTTATATAAAAGTGTTTTTAAAAATAACATTTTTTTGCAAAAACTGTGAACAAATTTTACATTGTCACGGTTTTCGCCATTTTTTGACAAATGTTGTTCTATATAAAAAATGTGCAAAATTAAATTCTCTACCTGTTTGTATTTAACCATTTTTTACGAAAAATGTAAAATAAGCTCGCAAATCGCAAAAAACAAAAAAAAAACTTAAATCCAAGATGGCGGACTGTTGCCAAATGAAATATAGGGGCAAGACTGTGAATCCATGATCTACGTGTCAAATAGAAGTAAACTGCATCAAAAAATCACTGTTACAAATTTTTTTCAATTTTTCTACCAAATTTATCTAATTTTACTGGGCTATGAAAAATAATTTTGTCTATTTTTTTTCATTAAGCATATGTAGGTAGTGTAATAGCTATCAGCTATTACTACAGTGATCTGCCCTATCATAACATCAACCAAAATGGCTTTGCACACGAAGCATTCTTATCACACAGTACGGTAAACAAACGCCCATACCGACAGCATAGTTTTGCAGCCCAAATAAAAGAGCTATCTATAAATCTTTGCGATTCATTCACCCGCGGCATAAACGGTGTATACATACCTACATACAAACACAATTTAAAACATTACAATCTGAAACAAAGAATTAAATGGTATTTGATATTAAGCAAGAAAGTTTGCATGTTGTATGTAAATTTGTTTGTGTCGTTTTTTTTTATAAGAACGAAGCTTTTAAATTCCACAAATGATTGAGAGTTAATATGATATGACCGCAACGTATGAATGTACTATATGACGGGTGATTTGAATGTAAAAAGCACATTTCAGGCCTACAACTGTTTTAAAGGAAAATATAATTTTTAACTTCTGACCATATCTGTGTCAAAAATACATATTTTTTTAATATAAAATAAAATATATACATTTGTGTAAGACCCAATTAATTGGTTTTGATTAGCTTAATACGAGGAACCCTAAGATAGTACCATTAATTTGTTAAATTTATGAATATATTGAGTCTGGTAAAGTTCATTCTTCTTCCTTAATACAATTCTCAACCAATTCGCGCAAATTTGGATTCTCCATAGCGGCGGCAATGCGTTCCTTGTCGTTTATTTGCTTATTTACTGGAAGAGCGAGAAAAAAAAAGATAAATACACTATGAATTGCATAGATTAAAAGTGCGCCAACGTACTTTCGTCCTCCGTTGTGTGTGCGCCTTTCTTAATGTAAATGTCCAATTTAATATTATGCGGTAAGCTGCGCTCTACTTTAACGCGAATACATAAACCGATAAGCGTGGCCAAAGAGCAGTGTGGAACAGTGGGATTGAACTCGATGCGTACCTGTAAGAGCAGCACAACAAAAGTTAGAACCAAGATTAATAAATGTACACAAAATATGTGAAGATATCACTCATTTGGCAAAACAGTGTCACAACTCAAAAAACGAGATTTTTTAGGAGACGCGTTTAATGCACACGCGAGACTAGCACATAATTCTTACAGACTATGAAGTATGATAAGTAATTTTGCATCAATAGCTAAAAAAATATGGTTTTTGAGCTGCGACAATACCTGCTTAACTAAATGAGCA